TCCAGTATAATATTTGTTCAGAAATTTTGTCACATTTCTTGATTATCTGTTTGTTAAAGTATATTTATCAGAAATTGTTTGATGAATCTCAATGCCTACAATGCCTTCTTTTGAAATGAATTACATACCACGTAAATAAGAGGAACAATTACAATCAAAAGTGAAATAATGTATCAGTCTAAATATAAACTAACACGAGTGGTAAATATATATTTCGTCCTAGCTTATACTTAAAAGGTTAAATAAATCTTGATTCTACTTATTTGTATTTAAATTTTTATTGCATGAACAAAAAACGATTAGTAAAGATGAGAATCAATAGATCTCTACTATGTATAATAAATTCCGATTCTATAATATAAACTATATATATGTTCAAATTCTACTATATAATGATCACATTACAACGACTAAATTTTTTTGTCGACTGAAGATCTCGTCCATAAGACGAATATTTGCATAGCACGAGTCATTTTAATTTCAACACTATCAAAATGGCCAAACTCGTAACTTCTAATAGAAATTTTATGAATTTAGAATCTTATTTCAATGACTTTTTTGTAAAACACATAAATACAAGTTCTTTATTGTATCATAAATTTGGCCTTTCATTGTACTCCGATTTCCCTGATATAAGTTTTATATACTAGCTTTTATTTTAGTGATAGTTTTCTAATAAAAAGTCCTTCAATTAATGTGGCCAAAAGAAAGATTTCTAGATTATTCTTTTTATATTCTCATCGACATACAAGGATGTCAATATTGCTGTCGTTGAATTTTCATATCGTTCTCATATTGTACCCTTATTTTGACAAACACGCAAAATGGAGGATCTTTAATATCGTGAAAGAAGAACAAAATTTCTCACCATCTCACTTTCTACTCTTTCGTACCGAAGCCGCGTTTCAATATAATATTACGCCACGATATATATATGTATGTATGTATGTATGTATAAAACCAGCTCTCGATAGAAACCGAACGGTTTACCTCTGTTACCGCAACTTCGACACTGTTGAACGGTTATCAACGCAGTTGTTGCTTGCTTAATTTACAGATCGTTGGGATTCAACGGAGTGTGTCAGCCTGCTCGGCGACCTCAACGTCTATTGACCTTTTGCTCGATCACGCAGCACGAGGAGTCGCTTCCGATCGAAACCCATGGGAAAAAAGCGACGAGCCCTGCTAGGAAAGCTATTCTAATCGTGACACTTTATCAAAAATATTCCATATTATTTAACACTAACGAAGCGAAGCACGAAGCAGTGATCGTTTTCAGCTGGTTTTAAACAGAATATAGAAGATCGAAGAAAATAACAAACACTTTGTGCAAGATACAAAGGAGAACACGAGAGAAAGAGGAGAAGAACTGGCGAGAGTAAATGACGAAACGCTGGCGGAAAGGTGTAGTTATTACGTTAGTGATGTATTAGAACGCCTCTGACGGAGTGAGAAAGAGGAAGAAGAAGGCATGGAGAACGCGGCGATTGCGCTCGACTCGACGGTGAGGAGTCAGGATTCGAGCAATTCGAAGGACTCGAAGGGATCGAAAGACTCGAGCGCGTCCGGCTCGAAGCCAGAGAGCTGCCTGGAGTCGAAACACTCGAAGGAGATCCTCATCTCGGAGAAACAGCAACGACAGCAGCAGCCACGAACGCAGCAACATCCGGATGATCAACAGAAACTGAAGAGTACCGAGTCGAAGGATGAGTCGAACCTCCTGATGTTCACTTCCTGCGGGCAACTGCTCCTTGGTAAGTTTGTTTTCAACATAGTTCCGTTCCTCGAGATTCTGTCCTGCGTGCAGAGTTCTGCTCTCTTCGCGAATAGTTATTATGATAGAATTGCAAACGACTGGAAGTTAACTTCAATTTTACAAAATTTATAAATTTCATTTTTATTACTTTGAATATGTTATAAGTTTTCTTATTATTTTTCTTTATCTTTATTTTCATTTGCTCGAGCAACATGGCGGGATTTAGAAATTTTGACGTTAGAAAGCAGAGCTGTTAAATTTCTAATTTCTTTTAATCGCCTCTATGTATAGAAAAAATCTTTACATCAAGTTCATCTTTGGTTTATAATTATTACTAAAAATACTCTCATAAACATTTCAATTAATTTAGAAATAAACATTTCTATGTTTATATGCCATCTGTGTATATATAATATTTTTTAATATATTTTAATTGTAAATACATATAAAAATTATACGATCTGTTTCGTTGAAAGTGGGTCCACTTTCTTTCATTTCGAAATATATCGAAAGTGTTCGCGTTTGCATCGATTATTGGAATTCTACTTCAGCAACGATGTTTCAATTGACGAAGATAAACGAATGTTTTAATATTTAAATTACAAATTGTTCGTAAATATAAAAACTCACGTCAAGTGATGTACGCGTAAATGCTTCGTTTCTTGAATTTCCTCAAGAAATTTTGAGGATTTACGTCGCTTTCGAAATAAATGATCCTACGTGCATACGATCTATACTGCATTAGCAAGCGTTTTCAAAATGGCACATCCGGTAGAGATATTTATCAGAGATTGGTATGAGTACAATATAAAAGAAAAATAAGTATGGCGTACGAACAACAAGGGGAAGTAGACCGTGCAATGTCAGACACATTGGATATCCACTGCAATAATACGATTTACATTTGATTGCAATTTTCCATACACTTCGATGAATTATTTCAAGTGCATCAATAATCACGACTGTTTACATAATTTCAAACTGGTAATTTAATAGTTTCACGATGGCAAATTATTGAAATTTGATTTACTGCAAGAACCTGTTTCGTCTTACAACGTTAGACATTCGCGGCAAAACATGTTTTTGCCAAGCGTTCGATAGCAAACTAGAGATTAATTAAACACGATACTCGCTGCTAATTATTCAGACTAATGTATGTAAATATACAAGTTTTCTCCGAAAGAAGGAAAAAAGAGAAAACGATATTACTGATTGTTACAGAAAGGAAATAATATTCGGATTCTTTGACAATTGAAATGCAAATATAGGCAAAAATAGCAGAAGAGAAATGCAAAATGAATTGTAAAATTAATTTAACGCGTGTTCCAGTTAACTTTTAGTTTAACGATATTTATATCGCTCAATTAGAGAATTATTTTCTGGAAAAAATTAGTTTTCAAAATCGTTCGTGCGGTGGAAATTAGATTGAAAATACCGTAACATTCTATTAACAGTTTTATTGATATCAGTAAATATATCAATTAATATTTTTTTTTCTCTATTGGACGAAATGTTTCAAAATATCCGAATCAGGTTAATTATCTTTGAAGCTTCAAATGTTGCGATTAGCCTGAGTGAGGAAAATGAAAAAAAAAAACTATTTGACGAAAGGAACCGAGAAATCTTCGTACACGCAAGAAGAATTTTTAGTAAGAAATTTTTGCATTAATTTGAACTCGTAAGCAGTGTTTATCCAATTAATTATTGAAACAGACATGATACAAATGTAATAACACAATATTTATTCCCTTCTTTCAGAAAATTTGCAAATTATAATTCTTAAATAACTTGATAATGGAGTTTCTCGAAGATATCCATTTGTGTCATTTATTTTATCTATTTCGTATAAATAATTTTATTTTCGCGTGAGAGAAGGTCATTTATTCTCTCGACTATTTTACAAATATTAATATTAATAAACTTCCTAATAAAAGTTCCAATAATTTCATTCGCTTTCTACTCTTGTTCTCTGAATTTCTCTTACAAGGACCCATCTCTGAATTATCGATTAATCAACGTTCAAATAATTACGTTTGAAAAAACTCATTACTCACGATAAGACTACATGACACGATCGTATAGTATACATAAACAAGCATTTCAGCATTGGTTTCTACTTTCGCATAGCATCTTGATTGTTTCGAAATTCTGTATACATGAAAAGTACACGAATTTCCACTGTGCCGTTTGCCGAACCGCACATTTCACCAAACTGTATAGAAATCGACGTAAAAGTGAAAACATTTCACTTAGAAAGTTCACATTTGTGTAACTCTTTCCACGGGGTTTGCAAACCGTAGAGAATTGCCCCTCTGCAGTTCATTGTTATATTCGATGCTCCCTGTGGTGACACTCTAATACGAATACAATTGTTGTATGTTTCAATGTATTCTATAATTCGTATGAAAGACGAAAGCAATTTTTACTGTAGAAAAGATCAAAATGTATTTCAATTATAAGACGACAGATGGATCAAACTGTGCAATGATTTTATTAATTCTGTAATTCTGTAATTCTCTAATAGCTATATTTAAAATACGATATCACGAGAAGATTGAATTAACTTTTGATAAAGTTAGTATGAAAAAAAAAGAATTAACACATGCAATTTAATTTTCTTAGTTGACAAGCCATTTATCCTCAGATTTTATCATCTTTAAATTCAAAAGAAAGAAAAGTAGAGTGTCGGATTAGAGAGATTTTCAACATTAAGCAGTCGTGTATTTAAATTATAAATTTATACTCTTCAGAGTCATTTATGATTTGTATTTTTAATGCTAAATAAATAACTATTTATTTTTAATATTCATTTTAATACTCATCGTGGATGATAAAATATTGAAATTGTATCTTATACAATGATACAACTATTTATGTATTAACACTTTATACAAAACAGCTACTATTTAATTTTTCTAGACAAACGTAGTGTTTATATTATATTATACACATACACATAGTAAACAAATAATAAACATATATATTGATAGACATGGTAAATGTAGAAATGTATATATTAATATACACTGATACGATGAATGTGTAAATATATAAAATATAGTATAGTAAATATATAAAATATATACTAAACTATTGGCTAAATACAGAAATAAGTTAATACATATTTTTAATAATAATAATAATAATCTATACGTTGCTTCTAATTATCAACTATTAATTGCCTTTCAGGTGTAGTGCTGGTAGTGTTCGGTATCCTGGTGCTGGTCCACGGAGCGGCTTTAGGCGGTTCCGGTGCAGGATTGTGGGCAGGTGTGGGTGCCCTTGCGGCAGGAGCGTTGGGCGTAGTGGCGACGCTTGCAACATCGTCGAGCAAGACGAATTCCAGCTTTTCCACGGCTCACCTTGCAGCCAGCCTCGTTGCCCTTGCCCTTTCGAATATGGCCGCGATCACGGCCTTGACTGCTATCGTCAGGGACTCGCAGAGGACACCGGAAGTGACCTTGCTCACTGTTCCGGTACGTATTGTGTGCCTGTACTTTCACCGGTACCCTCTTTCCCTCTTCTCTTCTATTGTAACCACCACACTGGAATTATTTACCTGCCATTTTTCTAACTGATGCTCCCCTTTCGTGGAAATTGGAAAGTACCAAAATGTATGAAATATCCAGCTATGCTACATAAAGTATAATTACACGCCTTTGGTTAAATGAAATGTTTATGAAAATCTGCAGTAGTAAATGGCGAATATAGAATTATTACAAATATTACAATACTTCTTTTTCTATTTATTATTATCTATTGCTGTTATCTATTTACTATTTGTTATTGCTCGTATAACATTCTTTATCCGATTAAATTTGTGGAGATTTCTTACTCCAAAAAATTTCTTTGAGAATTTCTTTATTACACTGCAAGATTCTTTAAAAAAAAATCATCGTAGAGAAATTTCATCTGGATATTGTACATAGAACATTTTATAAAATATTTTGAAGTTTCTTTCAGCAAATACAACTGTGATCATTATATCGATATACAAAGTGATATGAAAATATAAAAATATAAAGTGAATCTGAAAATGTACATATGTACAGGACAAGAATAAGGAGACTAAAATACATCATATTAAATAGAATATTTCATGCAACATATATATTTACAGAAATATAATAAATAAATAAATTATGCGATTGGTTAGTGTGGAACAGTATAAGTTACTAATGTGTTACTGCATCAACTCGAATTTTCCAAGCTGATGAGTAAACAGGGATGAACAATTATCCTGCCATTTCGTTGGTTTTCACGCAACTTATCGTATCGCGTCTCCCCGGTGATAACAGAAATTTCCACTCTTCGAATTGCATTAACGATCACTGCGGATGTATATTATAACGCGAAGATATCAATTACGATCAATCATTAGCGAAGCGATAAGTATAATTCAATGCCCGGGGGGAGATTCTGTTGGCACGTGCCTATTCCGCGAAGCTACTAAGAAGTTAACGGTGACTTCATCAGGAAATTATTACCACGTTGCATACTCGCCGGTATGAACGAGAACCGGGATCTGCAACCGAGGATCGATAGAAATTTCTCACATCGATAGAGAAACCTGCGTAAAGGTTAATACCGAGCACCTTACTTCGCAACTTTGTTTTTTCTTTTTTTTTTTTTTAAGTCAACAGATTTTTTTTTGTAACGAATAGTCATTTCTGTTAGATTTCTTGGGATTACGAATTGGAAATTTTTCACAGTTTTCTTCATCATCCTCGGTTTTTTTTTTTTTGTGTGCGTGTGGAATTCAATTTCGAAGAGAAAGAACGAATTTCAACTTTTGACTTTAAGTGCATTGTAAAACTTATAATGCTCGTAATTGAACATGTAATTAACAATGTATTAATTATAGGATTTATAATATTTTTCTTTAATTACGTTTCTAAAAATTTTTAATTGACAATGAAAAAGAACAATGAAAAGTTGTCGATAATTTGAACTAGCATAAGTTTAAATGAAAAGTTAAAATATAACGATTCATTTGCATCGCATCTTAAAAAATCGTAAAGCTTCTATTTTGATATTCGTAGGTTCATTTTCTTCGCAGATGATTTTATATAGTGGGTGGAAAAATGAGGATACTTTCTTCTCGAAAATTATAAATATTCAAACGCATATAAAAATATTGGAAAATATTTTTCACGACTTTTTTTACAACGAAGCCTTAAAACTCGTACGATATTTTTTCATCATTTTGCCGAACTTGGGACATTAGGATTAAATGATGAAATGTTGAATTTCTTAAACTTTTATCGTTCAACGTTCAATAAAATGATCAAAAAAAAAAAATCGTACAACAAATTCTAAGAAGTCTTTGCAAACGAGTTTAATCTTCGAAATAATGGTGGATCTAGTCCACGAAAAAAAATATTTACAATTTTCGAGAAAGAAGCATCCTCACTTTCAAAGTAGAGACTTTCACGCTTTAAAGTGAGACCAGTTTTTAATTCTTAGACGACCTGTTTTTAAATTTAAATTATCTTACAATTCTTCGTTGTCATTGGTACAGTTATACTCTTCACTGTAACTCTATGTATGCAGGTAGAAAAAATTCTCTTTCATAACAGAAATTTGTACGATTTTTATGTACAATACATAGTGTCCTATAGTTTTGTCGCGCAGTGTAGCCCAATTAGTAATCGGTGGTCCAAAATTCGTTTCCCCAATGTTATCTCGTTCATTGGTCGGATCAACGCGAGTTTCGGCGTGGCAGATTTAACCGGAACAGAGCCGCTGGAACCGTCTGACCGCCGAAGAAAGTTGCCAATGCCAAGGCTAAAACTCGGTCAGGGCAGACGATCGTGAAATTTCACAAATTGCTTCGCCTCTGGTTGCCTTTGAAACCGCGTGTGCTCTCACTTCCGCTCGATGGTCTATCGCGAAACGATCGATCGCGGAAGTGACTACACTTCGAAGCTCAATTCTTCAAAGGCTTCGTAAATTCTCGTGGCACAGCAGGAATCCAAACGAGTCTCTCGCGAAAGAACTGGATCACTGAACGAATGATGGACATGGATACGATCTCATAAATTTTTGTAACATGACTTGTAATTGGAAAAAAAGAGATAATAATTAACCTTCGAATGTGACTCGAATTTAAACGGCAACATTTTTTGATTATGGGAGCAACGATGAATTAGAGATACACCAATGTATTGATAAATCCTTATAATAGGACTTGTACCTAAAAAAAACACACATAGAAATTAGAATCATGAAATGTGAAATATGAAGATGTAGATTTTTTTTTTTTTTAAGTTCTGCGAATAGGTGGAGTTGTCAAAGTTTATTAAAATTTATTAAACATAATGGATTGGAAATACATATATCGTGCGTTTCGAGATCAACTGCTGAACGCGAAACCAGAGTTCACTTGTTTAGTTTACAAAAGGCAATCACACTCACACAACTCACAGTATTCATTGATATGTTCCAACAGGGGTCTAAAATTAATGATGGATCGGAAGCATATGTTTTAAGAATGTTTTTTGTTTTAACAAGATTCAAGAAAATTACAAGTAAAAGTCTTTTAGGATTAAATTATTTCATTTTAATATTACTAATTTCGTAAGATATAAAGTAAAATTGATCATCTTAAAATTTTGTAGTATAGTATAAATTATTATAGTCACTTGTGACCCAACTATATTACTCGAGGATCAAATGTAGCAATTTGAAATATCATGTGAATAAATTAATTCTTTCTTCTTAAGTTGATCGTAAATTCTGATAGTTTGAAATTAAATGAATCTCAAATGTAACATTGTCGGACAATGTGATATTCATTCTTATCAAGAATTGAAATAAATAGAACAAGTTGAAGTAACTAGACTTTGACGAATATGAATTGCTGAACCTTCATTCCACCGTTTGACAGGAGAAAGTCCTCTGAAGTAGAGATGTACCCAATGCCTGTCTATTTGTTTTTACTTCTCAATCGAAAGAATATCAATCTGTCTTTCGTTTACAATACAACAATATTCAAGCTATATAATTAGCTAATAGAATTACTATTCCATTTCTCTGTTACATTCATAAAACTGTACTTGATGCATACGTACTTGATGTACCTACTTGGTGCAATACATTAACGAGTATATTGTAAGAACAATAGCACAAGAAAATGAGATCACAGTTGGATATCAAGTGTCAGAAGCTTCAAGGCGGATATTTCCATGCATGTTACGTAATTAACACAACATATGAAACATTATAGCTATAAAATCCTTTCCTTAAAAGTCGTAAATTGCGCAAAGGTCGTAAAATCCAAGATGATCAACAATCTGAATACAATGGGCTATACAATTTTATAAATGTAATTTCATACATCTTATGTTAGTGCTTGTCGATCATGATCTCTCAGTTGAAATAGCATTGACCATTAATAGGCTAAAAGTACCATATACCATTATCAAATGCAATTACCAACCGTCAGGCTATCATTTATAATATACTCAAAGCATGTTACCACATCTTTCCTCTGTTCTACAACTGAAACAAAAAAAGACAATAAGACAGTAAAAGTTCAAGACAATGATAATAGATGTGAGCAATTATATAAAATATAATTATATAATTATATTATAGGTATATATTATATATTGTATAAATAATATAAAAAATTTGTATGCTGTATGCTATCATACCACATCTTCCCCCTGTTCTATCCTCGTGCAACTGAAACAATAAAAGTTTAAGACAATGATAATAAATGTAAACAATTATATAAAATATAATTATATTGCTTGTAGTATATATTATATATTGTACAAATAATATAAAAAATTTGTATATTATATAAAGGTACAAAAGTACAAGACAATAATAATAAGACACTAAAAAGATGTATACTAACCGTTGTTTTGTTACAGGGCAATGAGGACAACGAGGAAACCGAGATGGAGGGTAGCTGGGCCAGCCTGTTGGCAAGTGTCGGTCTTCTAGTGACCAGCGTGGCCGAGCTGTTGGTCTCTGGCTACAACTGCCTGACCTTGACCCCGAAGCTCTGCAGATGTCTTCGAGCGAACAACATCGACGACGTAACGAACGACGGCCGATTGAAGACCCGCAACATGGTCCATCAGTGGGTGACCGCGCAGAACCACGTGCCGCCGAAAAGTCAACCGATCTACGTGGTGCAGCCGATGCTGCCGATGCATCCGATGATCCAGGTGAGACGTAGCGCTCGGCTACTGGCGAACTGGAGGTAGGGGGATAGGTCAGTGACACGGAGGCGGGCTAGAAAGTTCAGACACCAGAGATCGGCCATGATCGCACGAGAGAAACTCGCCAAGCTCCGCGGGCGATCTCCGTGCCTACATTTCGGAGATGCACGAGCTCTCGGCTCGTCTCCGCCGAGTAGCAGCGCAGGTGTTTTCTGTGTCAGCAGGATGAAACAAGCGGAGCTTCTCTCTCTCTCTCTCTGTCTCTCTTTCTCTCCTTTCGTCGTGACTCGCTTTTCGGATTCCCCTTTCAGTACTCGAGGGTAGAGATGGGAACGAGTGCCTCGCAGGCACTGATTGAACTTTCCAATCAGTTGGATTCAATCGTTAAAAGTATTTCCAGCGGTGTTTTCAAATTTGTATTCAATTATATTCAAATTATTGCTCGTTGTAGCAATTACCATTATATACAACTATAGTTATAGCTTATATCATTACATAAGTTACATAAAGTTATGTTATATTCAACTATATAAGTTACATAAAGTTATGTTATATTCAACTATAACTTATAATTATATAGTTATACTCAATTTTAAGTGTAATGTTTCACGAGTATTATATGAATATACTCGAATACTGATAGATAAAGTACCTCGCAAGTACGTTCAAATCTAGCTAATTATAACTAACTATAGAAATTATATAGTTACGTTCAACTACAACTTGTATAATTATACAGCTGTATTCAAACTTAAGCGGGATTGCTTCAAATGAGTACTACATGAATAGACTCGATTACTGATACATAAAGTAAGTTCAGAGGTCAGCCAATTATAGCTAATTATAATTATGTAAGTTACATTCAACTGTAACTTGCATAATTGTATAGTTACATTTAAATTTAAGTGGGATAGTTCATGAGTACTACATAAATAGACTCGAAGTAAGTTACTGATACATAAAGTAAGTTCAGAGCTCAGCTAATTATAGCTAATTATAATTATATAAGTTACATTCAACTGTAACTTGTATAATTGAATAGTTACATTCAAATTTAAATGGGATAGTTCATGAGTACTACATAAATAGACTTGAAGTAAGTTACTGATATGTAAAGCTAATTATAATTATGTAAATTACATTCAACTGTAACTTGTATAATTGTATAGTTACATTTAAATTTAAGAGAGATTCATGAGTATTACATAAATAGACTCGAATGCTAAAAAATACTAATAAAGTACCTCACAAATAGATTCAAAGTTCTTCAGATGACATCTACAAATATCAACATGTCTCGAAGTAACAGAGATTTTTCATTGAACAAAGCGTGTTCCTATTCTTCTGTACGTGATCTTCAAACATTGCGTTCTTATTGTGAGAGCCGGTATATATAACGTGAATATGCGTTTACAATGAAAGCAATATCACTTTACTGTTCCACGTTTTGACTCCTCTAACAGGAAGAAGACATGAGATCTCACATCAAACTATTTACCTTAATAATACCTTGATAATTTTTTCAAAATCAACAAGTAGCCATTTTCAGTAGCTAGATTCAAAAAAATCAGTTTGTATAAAGTCTTACTTATTCAAACATTTTCACCTTCGAATAATATAATATTGAAAATCCAGGAAATGGAATTTGCACATGGAACTTGACTCGGATTCGTGACGAGTGTATTGGACTCGATCCCATCCCTACTCAAGGATGCTCCAGGCGTAATACGCGTTTGCGGTTCGCGGAGATTCTTGCGGCGGATAGCCGATGATTGGTTTCGGCCAAGGAATCCGCGCTGTGTTTGTTCTCGTTATTGGTGGATTTTCCTTTTGTTCTTCTCGAGGTGTAAGATCATCTCGTTGAGGAGTATCTTAGTTGGAAGTTTATGAGAAGCACGATACGATAGCCACAGATGACTTGAAATGGATACGATGAAATCTATTTTATGGTTGGTTTGCTTCGGGAAATTTATGGAACGTGTTGTATTTGATTTTAGCGAATGAGTTAGTTTAAATTAAAAAGATTTATAGGTATATGATAGATGATTTTCATTTCATTGATGAAGTCCAAAATCGTGAAAGTGATTTAACAATTATAAATAGATTTGTAGAAGATATTTAGAAATTTTTTTATGTTAGCACTGTACTATCATGATTATGTTGGCAACAAAACTTGGTACCAATATAAAGATGTTTTTTTCAGAATATCTAAGTACACTTCAGAAGCCACAAAAATGTTTAGCTAGTCAATTACAAAATTTGGTAAAGGTGATCTTTTTCCAAGCACCAATTCTATTCACGATGCATACTAAATTATTGCTAAACGCGTGTTTGCAATAAATGACTCGCAACTTCCGTGTGCAATAGACTTTCAAAGTTTGCCCATATAATCGTGACAATAATCGTGTCTCACATTACGGTACTAATGAAATTTCAAAATGTTCCCTCATAATACACGTGCATTATTACATCCAAATATTCTTTACGGTAAGTTTAACAAATTTTACGTTGTCACAGTCACCTTATGCAATGGCTGGCGCTCCTGCGAAATTTCCTGGAGGATTCGTGCCTGCTGGAGCTTTGCCAATAGCCCCAGCTTATGGTGCTGTTCCTATGCTGCCACACATGCCGTATGCGGCTCGTCCCCCATCGCAAATCGTAAGTATCATCCTCGCCTTGGTACATCCATCGTATTTATTAGTCGCGATCTTTCACGCCGAAAATTATTGCCGCGTCAAAATAGTCATCAGTGTCTTCTGTCTTCGACGTCGATTCGACATCGACCAGTGGAATGTTCGTTTCCCTTTACATGTAATTATACGGCCACGGAAAGAATTCCTGAAACGATCGATACCGTTCAAGCGTGTTGTCCGTAATTCCTCTTTCGAAATCTTTCTTACACGATTCTCAATACAGTATTCGTGAGAGCGAGGCGAAACGAATTCTATCTTGTAAGGCTTCTTTCTTAAGGTGTTTGATTCGGTATGGAAATTAGGAGAAGTGTCTTTTTAAGACTGTTGAAATTTCATGGGAAGAAGTTAATCCATTATTTACAGTGGTTACCATGTGGTAGATTTTTATTTATTTATCGTTTAGCGAAAGAACAAGAAGTAGTAATGTTCAATTTCAGATCCGGCCGAAACATAAGCGTCACATGACCGTGGACCATGAAGACACCATGGAGAGGAAGAAACAAAACGGAGAAAGGAAAACCGAGTCCCCGAAGAGGATGTCATCTATAGGAGAAGATCAGGTAGATCTAGCTCAAACATATACGGGATTAGACAAAAAGATTTCGGAGGAGTTCATTTCGATCGCCATGGATCCGGAAAGGAAGTCGAAAGCCTCCAGCAGTCATGGTAGTGAAATCGGTACTGCGAAAACTTCTTGAAAACATGGTATCTGCATTGTTCAAGTTTTGTATCGTATATATAAAATATTCTCCTACATTTTTACACACGTAAATGTGCGTAATTAATGTTAAAAAAAAAAGGAAAAGAAAAAAGAGAGAAAGTTGTTTGTCATCATTTCGATCATCGACGCTTCGAAGATTTATTTAACGTAAAATTAATTGATTATGATTATAATTATATACAAATCGTTTGAAGACTTTCCTCCGAGGCTTTAGAATTTTGTTGCGCGAGTTTACAATATTATCCTGAAATTTTTATTAATTGTTATTGTAGATATTAATTATTGATCTTTGATTAATTATTCTTTGAACTATTTTAATGAAATCTGTTTAGAACAGGTACACGTTGCTGTGCTTTTAATTGTATAAACATGATTAATAGGTAAGATTTAAAATATTGGTAGATTTATTTATTTTTTAGATACATTTTATACCAGCTGTTGTTTATTGTGTGTATATTATTCATTGCATGTAGCAATATGTACTTGAAGAAGAGACTCAGGCTTTTAAAAAGCGTAACAACACATAGCTTTGTATATTTATTATACAATATAATTCCAAAGGTAAACTATAATTACATTTCAGTTTATATAAGATATAAAATTCTTTTTACAGAGGACGCGTTGAAAAGTAACATTGGAAAATGAACAAGGAAAGTTTTATACTGCCAAAGTTGTTTAATTTTTTAATATATCTTAAAACATAATATATAATTATAAATATACGTATATGATACTTCTAATAAGTTTCTAAAAATGTTCTTACAATTTTTATACTTTTCTAGAATTGTAACATATCCTAAAAAATAGTGACAATTATAACAGTCTAATAAATAGCATGAATTAACTTAAAAAAAGTATAAAATTGAAATAAACTAGTAGAAAAAGTATAAAAATTGAAATAATACAGACATTGCATTTCTAAAACATATTTAGTTTAAAATAACGACCAATATAAAATATCTGAAGTTAGTTTTCAGAATTGCAAAAAATTGAAATACGTTGAAATGTTTAATATAATCTTTGGAATATGCAATTATGCCGTATAGAATAAACTAAACTTCTAAAATATCTGATATTATAAAATAGATATTTAAAATATACATACGCTATTAATTACATATGTATAAGTAATGTAACAGAACTTTAACGCTATTCGAGTCGTTTGTAATTACTGCTTTCTTTTTTAATAATTTAGCCCATCAAATGATACACGTAATGCCGATTTAATATCGCCATTTCATTGTACAGTCATAACATTACTACTCGAAAATTTATTCGACGCAAACTTTATCGTGTATATATAATATATAACATGTACTGTTATAAATAAATAAATTTAAAAAATAAAATTTCTTACGTAGCGTTAATTATCATTAATAAATAAAAGGCATGAAATACAACACACTCCTCTTCAAATACTGAATATTTTATTAATGGATTATAAGTACCTTATATGCGAGTATTATTTACATGTTCACTACTAACTACTTAAAATTAATCACATATGGCATATATTGCGCGTCATATAATTAGCATATACATGTGTACGTTGTATACGAAATATAAAAATATCTTACATTCTTTTAATAGGAATAGTTTTTGCTCACTATTATTACTATTATTCATTGTTATCGCTATTATTTCTATAACAAAATATATAAAAATACATGTGTAAAACCATCACAATCATTGGAATATATTTAATTCATGAATATATCAATACCATGATAAGTTTATTGTGACTAATATATAACATAATGTTTAATGTAACAAGTTTCTTTAAACTCACAATTGGGCGAGTAAAATTAGATTACCAACATTCTTTATTTCGTTTCTTTTCTTTCTTATATATAAAATACAGAGAATTTTTTTAAAATAATTTTCGTTTTATATTAAACATGTAAAAAAGGACGATAGATTATGATTTGTACATCCAGTTGTCTTCAATGAGCATAAAATATGGATTAGCAGATATTATTATTATTTTTATTATTATTATTATTACTGTTGTTGGTATCTAAAAAATTACAAAACAAAATTTTAACTTTAAGCTTTCTAGAATATATGTAAATGTGGAATAATTTTATAAAAATGCTATGGTATATACAATTTTCAGTACTTGGTATCTAATTCAACATTGTCTTCAGAACTACTTATCATATTATTTTTCTTAAACGAAACTATAATATATAAAATACTTTCTGCATTCACTGCATACAAATTTTTGTGTTTCTTAATGTACAACATAAGACGTAGTATAATGGATATTTTATCACAAAAAAGACAAACTCATATTAAATGTAATACTGAAACAATATAAAAGAAGCTGTGGTGTGGTATATTTCAAAAACAATCGTTCCATGAGACATTACATATACGACTTTTCACTGACTATTAATTTAAGATTTACGTTTGACAATAAAAATAATGAATATTGCAAGATAGTGAGCACTCTCTTTCTCCGTTGAAATTATAATACTAATAGTAAATAGATTATACTATTGCTTTTTACACCAAAATATGAAATGCACATATAATGTTTCTACATATAACTGACTAATATATACAACTACTATAATACACTTTGTACATTTCTTAAGTATGAAACTACGCACTTATTAGTCAAAATTGAAGATTATAATACCTATCTATTCAATAAAATATTTATATTTATATTTATCACTTGGATACTAATTGGTACAACTTTGTTTAAATAAAAGATTTTCATATAATACTACAATAATTAGAAGCATATATCCAGATCCTTATGTAATCAATTTATTAGCAATAAATAAATCACGTGTTACGTGCCAAAATAGTTTTATGGAAGACGCTGTTGGATAAGCATAGAACTAAATTATTAAATTCACAGAAATTTGATAAACATATACAAGGCACTTGTTCAATGCACCCTTATAATCTTCAATTTTGATGCACCAAAAAAGATATTAATCGTTCATTCTCTAGAGCGCACTATAGACTTTTATCAAAACTACAGTGAATTTAGAACAATATTGCCTTACGCGAGTTTCAATAATAAAACAATTGAACTAATTTCAACTAGCATTTGATATATCTATATCAATTGTTTCTTCTTTGAGCAAAGCTCGTTTGTCTTCTTTACTAGTAGCTTGTCGTTTACCACCAACTTTCCGTTTACCTCTATTAAGTACACCATTTTCTTCATCCATCATGCGTAAAATTTGCGTTTGATCGGAACTTTCTATCGGTGCTATCGAAATATCACGGACTGCACGGAATTTACCACAATTGTTCAAATGCTCGTTTTCTAATCGGAAGAAATTCCAAACGAATCGCCTTAAAATAAATACGTTATTAAATAATAATAAATTACTAATTTTAACACTTACTGTGTTATAAATAAATAGTGAAATAACTGAAGGAATACCTGAAAACTTCAAGAGGTGCTACTATGGACGTCATTAAATCACTGGAAACGTATTCGCATTCGGTAAGAACAAAACTCGCGATCCACGCAAATCTCAGAATAAAATCCTCGATTATAGCGAAATAATAGAACCCCTGAAAGAAATAACAAACACAATAAATCTCTGGGTGAAAAAGGAAGATTTTCAAAAGACATATTTTCATCTACGCACAGCTGCTGAATATACCACTTCTTCGCGTAAAAATTTATTTTCACCGGCATTGCTATCCAGAAGACCCCAATCCATTTTTAAATCCCAAGTTAATGAATAAATAGAATTGACAATGCAGCTAATAATCCAAAGCCACAACCATGGATTTTCCCAACGAGTTGGATAATCCGCTGAAATTAACATCTTTTTATCTCCTCAGTTAAAAGTAACATTAGTAAAAAGATTTGTCTGTAACTTACCAGCGCGGTAGTCACACATCGTCTTAGCTATAACAACGAGGAATGTAGTTGAATATTTTCCGGCATTAGCCAAGTGTGGAAATGCTTCTTTAGAATCTCGATATCGTCGTATACATTGTGCAAAACGAAACCATGCAGGTAAACAGTTAACAATAGGTCTAACAATTAAGGATCCAGACGTACATTGCGTGCTGTCTGCTGCTTCTAACCAATTTCCATTGGTAATGTAAAAACATGTTAAAAAATGAAAGTCTAACAGTGCTGTGGCCATACTGTTCAATTGATCTGCCAGCCAGAAATCAGCGAAATTCACATACGCAAACGGTGATATTAAAACTCTTCCCTAAAAACAAAATTAAAACAGAATATTATTTCTTACCAATTGATGTGATCTTCGTGATGCGTGTTACGTTAGTGTTACCTACAATGATCTTTAATAGCCAAAATCGTGCTTCATGTCGAAACATTTTTAATGGATTTAAAAGAAATGCTAGCATAATACAGACTAGAACTAATGGATTCACATATGGAGGAATGCTTAAGCTAGCACTGTACAAAAAGCTTAATAAACTAAGAGTCCATATAACTCCAAGAACAGCCGCCAGTTCCATAAGATGTTGTTCAGACAAATGATTTCGCGGATCCAATTCAAATATCAATACGTGATTCACGCCGGACGATCGCCATCCGTAAACATTCACACCAATAAGAAATAAAAATTGTATAATAAGCAGAGGTCCACGATATAATCTAAATGCAATCTTTAAGTTTTCACTGCCATCGTGAAATATTGCTAGAAAGAAAATTTAAGAAATTCAGTATATACAATGAGAATTGTATTTATAATTGCTTGTTTGTTTATAATTTTGATTATTACCTGAAAGTACTACTGCCACAAATAGAACAATGAAACTACCCGAGAATAATCCAACTTTAAAAGTGGTCCATGGACTCTGATGCTCTCCTAAAGGTGGTACACGCAAACGTTTCATAGCACGTTGTCGATCTCCACCTTCTAAATCGTTTGTTACAGTAGTTTCTGTATCTTGAATGAGTTTGTCTATATCTTTTGACGTATAGAAGTGTGCAGTTTCTACACATTCCACCCTCCATTTTGATCCACTGTCTACAGACAATAACTGAAAATAAAAATAAAGATATTACATTATGTACATATACAACACAAACTGCTATGATGTATGAGGTGTGCTGAGTTTTTACTTGTGTTTAATAGGATAGGGGGACTTTAAAATAAGTATTAGTTCGTTCCTTATTTTTTCATTATTGTTTAAATGAACCTGTAAACCTAGAGAAATACAGAAAAATTAAGTATGGATCAATGCAACAGTAGCAAACAGAATCTCTCATTCTATGTACCTTGTCATGTTTCTTAAGAATCTTTCGAAAACCAGTGTAATTAAGATTCTGATAGTTCTGAAGAAGTATAAGAGACAGGTAAAATTCAGAAAATGCAAGTTTCAATTCTCTCAGCTTCCTCGTTGGTAAATGAGGTTTAACATTCACTTTTCCCTTATTTTTTCCTCCGCCTTGTTGTAATTCTAGTGCTGTTTTCAATTCACTTTGGAGAGCTGCATATTTGCGTGTGGCTTCTGCTAACTTCTCTGTATAAAAAATAAATTATTATATAAATGTTAAATAATATCAGGTGTCTCGTTGCTAATAGATATACGTAGTCCAACAGAGTTTTCTTACCAGAATAGAAAGTATTAATTTTCTTTAATTCACGATCACAAAATGTAAAAAATACTTCATCAAAAGAAGCAAAATGTCTGGATATCACTTCTGGTTCAACACTTTCAGCTGAAGGTGCTTCTTCTACAGCAGTGTAAAGCATCGCCTTCATTTCCTAACCCAAAAATGTTAATTTAATTAATTAGTAAAGTATTTTAGTAATGATCTTTTATTATATATCTCCAATATTTATTATATATCTCCAATATTTAGGAATATCATAAATACAATTTTCAGCATTATTTTATTTTACCTCATAGCTAATGTATTGTTTACGCCACTCAGGTGTAATATGGGCAGATAAATGTTCTGCAAACTTCATTTTGCTTCACTTAATGTAACCTGCAATAAACAAATTCATAAAAATTATTGTT